GTCACCTCCACTGCTGTCACCTCCACAGCTGTCACCCCCACAGATGTCACCTCCACTTCTTCTACGTCCACTGATGTCACGTCCACTGCTGTCACCTCTACTGGTGTGACTTCCACTGCTGCCACTCCAACAGATGTCACCTCTACTGCTGTCACCTCCACTGATGTCACCTCCACAGGCAGCACTTCTGGCGTCACCTCCACCGCTGTCACTTCCACACTTGAAACCTCCACAGCTGTCACCTCTACTGGTGTGACTTCCACTGCTGTCACCCCCACAGACGTCACCTCCTCTCCAGTCACCTCCACTGCTGTCACCTCTACAGGCAGCACTTCTGGTGTCACCTCCACTGCAGCCACCTCCACAGATGTCACCCCAACTGGTATTAGCTCCACTGCTGTCACTTCCACTGGCATCACCCCCACAGATGTCACCTCCACATTTGAGACCTCCACTGCTGTCTCCTCTACTGGTGTCACCCCCACGGATGTCACCTCCACTGCTGTCACCTCTACTGGGGCCACTTCCACTGGCATCACTGCCACGGATGTCACCTCCACAGATGTCACCCCCACAGATGTCACCTCCTCTCCGGTCACCTCCACTGGCATCACCAGCACTGCTGTAACCTCCACTGCTGTCACGTCTTCTGCTGTCACCTCCACTGGAGCCACCGCCAGTGATGTCACCTCCACTGATGTCACCTCCACTTCTTCTACCTCCACTGGCATCACCTCAACAGGCATCACTTCTGGTGTCACCCCCACAGATGTCACCTCCACTGCTGTCACCTCTACTGGGGCAACTTCCTCTGGCATCACTGCCACAGATGTCACCTCCACAGATGCCACCTCCACTTCTGCTACCTCCACTGCTGTCACCTCCTCTGGTGTCACCTCCACAGATGTCACCCCAACTGCCAGCACCTCCACTGGCTTCACTTCTGGTGTCACCTCCTCTGGTGTCACCTCCACTGGAGCCACCTCCACAGATGTCACCTCCACTGCTGTCACCCCCACGGCTGTCACTTCCACTGGAGCCACCTCCTCTCCAGTCACCTCCACTGGCGTCACCAGCACTGCTGTAACCTCCACTGCTGTCACGTCTTCTGGTGTCACCTCCACTGGAGCCACCCCCACAGATGCCACCTCCACACTTGAAACCTCCACTGCCGTCACCTCTACTGGTGTGACTTCCACTGCTGCCACTCCAACAGATGTCACCTCCTCTCCAGTCACCTCCACTGGCGTCACCAGCACTGCTGTAACCTCCACAGATGTCACCACTTCTGGCGTCACTCCCACTGCCACCACCTCCACTGCTGTCACCCCCACAGATGTCACCTCCACTTCTTCTACGTCCACTGATGTCACGTCCACTGCTGTCACCTCTACTGGTGTGACTTCCACTGCTGCCACTCCAACAGATGTCACCTCTACTGCTGTCACCTCCACTGCTGTCACCTCCACAGGCAGCACTTCTGGTGTCACCTCCACTGCAGCCACCTCCACAGATGTCACCTCAACTGGTATTAGCTCCACTGCTGTCACTTCCACTGGCATCACCCCCACAGATGTCACCTCCACATTTGAGACCTCCACTGCTGTCTCTTCCACTGGCATCACCCCCACTGATGTCACCTCCACTGCTGTCACCTCCACTGGAGCCACCGCCAGTGATGTCACCTCCACTGATGTCACCTCCTCTTCTGCTACCTCCACTGCTGTCACCTCCACAGGCATCACTTCTGGTGTCACCCCCACAGATGTCACCTCCACTGCTGTCACCTCTACTGGGGCCACTACCTCTGGCATCACTGCCACAGATGTCACCTCCACAGATGCCACCTCCACTTCTGCTACCTCCACTGCTGTCACCTCCTCTGGTGTCACCTCCACAGATGTCACCCCAACCGCCAGCACCTCCACTGGCATCACTTCTGGTGTCACCTCCTCTGGTGTCACCTCCACTGGAGCCACCTCCACAGATGTCACCTCCACTGCTGTCACCTCCAGCACTGTCTCATCTTCATCTTCCCCAACCACCGCCACGACCACCACCATGACCACGACCACCACAACCACCACCACAACCACAACCACCACCACCCCCACCGTCACCACCCCTCCAGGTGAGCCTTACCCCAATGTCACCCTCACCCCCGTGTCACCCCCACCCCAATCTCACCCCCACCCCATCATCACCCCCGTCCCCATGCTCACCCTCACCCCATTGTCACCCCCAACCCCATCACCTACTGCGACCCATTT